ATGTTTGTGTGTTTGTGTGTGTGTGTGTGTGTGTGTGTTTGCTTGTTAGTTATTTTGATGTCCAAACATAAGTAACACTGTAAGAGCATTACTAAGTAAGTAAACCTAAAAATGGCTTTGCGTGCTATACAAAGATCACAGCACCTGCAGAAGTCCTCGACATCACGCCTCAACCGTCCCCAGTAGAAGCCCTGACGCAGACGTCGAAGTGTCTTTGTCACCCCAAAATGGCCTGATCCAGCAGATCCTTGCATGGCCTTTAACACTGCCTCTTGCATGTCCCCAGGCACCATGACTTGCCATCTCTTTTCTCCTGTTGCTGGCACCACCCATGCTCGCTGGAGAACCCCATCTATCAGCCATAGACATTTGAACTTGGCCCACAATCCCTTGGTGAATGGGGAGAGGGCCGCTACCTCCTCCCATGGCGGCCGCTGCTGTGTCTCTACACACAGTATCACAGGCTGCAGGTCTGGGTCCTGCCTCTGATTATCGACCCATTGAGTGACAGCCACCTCTTGTAGCTCCCGGCAGACCAGTTCAGGCCCACCGCTTCCAGCTCCAGCTCTCGGGCTTCTCTGCGCTCTCAATACTTGCATTCCTGCCTACAACATGGCCATCTTGACAGAGCGTCGGCATTGCCATGCCGTACCCCTGCACGATGTGTTACAGTGAACTCATAACTCTGCAATTCCTCGAGCCACTTGGCTCTCTGGTTCCTTGAATGTCATCAGCCACTGCAAGGAGGCATGGTCAGAGCATATGGTGAAATGCCGACCGCACAAGTAGTACTTAAAATGCCTGATAGCAGAGATGACAGCCAACAGCTCTCGCCGTGTGACACAATATCTCTTTTCAGCTTTGCTGAGCACCTTGATGAAATAGGCCACTACTCTCTCAATGTCTGGCCACACTTGGGATAAGACTGCACCTATTCCATCCCCACTTGCATCAGTTTCCAGAACGAAGGGCAGTTGGGGGTCAGGAGGTGCCAGGATGGGTGCGCGAACCAGGGCTTGTTTCAGAGTATTGAAAGACCCAAACAGAGGACTTTAAATTGCCACAGACCTCTACCTGTGCAGAAAGCTGTCTTGGGATGAGCTTCTTGCATCAGCGGCACCTGCCAGTACCCACACCTCAAGTCCAATGATGAAAACCAGTGAGAGCCAGTCACAAGGTCCAAACATTCATTCACACGGGGAAGAGGGTATGAGTCTTTCCATGTCACTGCGTTGAGTCTCCAGTAATCGACGCAAAAGCGCCACTCCCCTCCCTTCTTCAGGACCATGACTACTGGGGATGCCCAAGGGCTCTCAGAAGGTTCTATTATACTGGCGCGCTGCATCTTCACCAATGCCTGCTCCGCAGCCTCTTGCCGTTCTAAGGGCATGCATCTTGGTCGCTGAGGTATGGGCGCTGCGTCCCCTGTGTCGATATTGTGCTGCATCAGGGTAGTCTGACCCAGGTCCCCTTCATTACAGGCAAAACAGTCCCGGAACTCCACTAACAGCTCCCACAACTGTTCTTGTTGCTGCGTGTCCAATTCGCTGGAGCTCCTTTGCATTATCTCCTGCAGCACCCTCATTGTTTCCCCCTCTCTCCCAGAAGCAGACCCAGGCCATGTGTGTAGTAACAGGGGCTCTTGCAGGGACACACAGGGTGGCGCTGTGCAGCACGAGTCATCCTTGTCATCTAGGTGACATGTCCAAAACCCAACCGCAATTTCCTCAGTATGACGAGCTCCTGGTGGCCTCGTTTTTACCACGTGACCATTGCCAAAACTCAACGTGGCCTTGGATAGGTCTAACTGACAGCCATGGTCCCTCAAAAAATCCAAACCCAGAATACAACTGTCCTGCACATTAGCTATCCACACTAGATGTTGTATGTTCATACCCCCCACAGTCAGTATCAACAGCCCCTTTCCTTTCATTGGTGCCAGCTCACCGGTTACTGTGCGAAGCTGAACCGCTGTGTCTTCTTGCTGCGTACCATCTGGCACCACATCAGGACAAACCACAGTCACTGTAGACCCTGTGTCAACTAGGGCTGTGCATTAAACGCCATCAATGCAAATGGGGATATGGCAAAAATCTGATATGGCTGTTCTGCCCACCACAACCACCCCATGCTCATTGGTCCCATTGTTCATTGTGGGCCAGTCTGTTTGTTCTGGTGACGAGCGGGACATGGGCTTGGGGGTCTGCAGCGTCCCGCCTACTGCGCCCCTTCCTGTTTCCCGAATTCTTTGCCAGCATAGGGCATTCCTTAACCAGATGTCCCAGCTGACCACACCCCCAGCAAAGGCGGGCATGTGTCTGCCACCTGGGTGGAGGCAACACCAACCCACAAATCATCTCTGTATTCTCATTCAGCCACTCAGGTTTTGGAGATGCCATCTCACCCCTTCCAGCTGCTCTGATGGTGAGGGAGGGGTCAATTGCTGACCCTCACATTGCTGCTTCAACTGCCATTTCTCCCTCCAGTGCCAACTCCAGGGCCTCTGCCAAATCACGTGGGTGTGCGAGCTGTGTATGTATGCGCAGCCCTGCTGGGAAAAGAGCTCAGATGAACTGATCGCGGGCCAGCTCGCTCTGCACCGATGGTGAAATATGTGCATAAGCTCGCCTTGCTAGGGATTCAATATCATTGGCCAGAGCCCGTAGTGGTTCTCCTGGAATTCTCTGATGGCTGTCTAACTCAGACCGGAGAACTTCAGATCGGAAACACTGTCCAAAGCGGCGTCTCAATGCACCAAGCAATGCACTATAATCAGCCCTCTCACTAGTGTCAAGCAGCAACAAACATGAAAGTGCATCATCTGTCAGGCACAGAGCAAGCTGAAGAGCTTTCTGTTCCTCTGACCAAGCAAATGCATGAGCTAATAACTCAAATTGGGCATGAAAAGCCTCCCAGTCCGATCTGCCAAAGTATTTTGGTGTTTTTATTCCAAACGGCTGATTCAGTTCATGGGCGCCGCCATTATTGTTTACCTTTAGTCCCATCACTTCTCGCGAGATCAACGCGCCGGCGCAACCAGCGACTGACGTCATAGCGTTCGGCAGCGGCGGGTAATGGCAGCTCGCTTTCTCGCTCGCAGCCGTGGCCTCACACGGCTCCTTTTTCACTGAATTTGCCATGTACTGATTGGAAATCGCCGCGGTGTGCACACCAAACATATGCACAGCCCCAGCTCCAGCATAACCGTCATCTTCCTCCATCTTAATACGAACTGTATTATCCATTCTCACCAGCGGCCGATAGAAGCTACTCCGCTAATGCCCGCTCAGTCAGGACTCAATCAGCGACTGCCCTTCCTGCCGTCTTCGAATTTTATTTTTACTTCTGACACCAGTTGTAGCGTTCTCAGACAAGGACGAGGCGTTTTGATGTACAAGGGGTGTTTATTTGGGCTGTTGTCGGCCACAACCCACGCCGTACACACCCCGACTTCTAAGAGAACCGCACTTGAACGAGCGAGGCACTCCTTCTT